AGACTTGTTAATTTAAGAAGAAATGCTCAGGAATCCCCCTCAACCCCCGCCAAGCCAGTGAGTCAGTGAGTACACACACACACACACAAAACCCTGGGCTGAAATGAAAATATTTCCCATTAAGATTCAACGAGGTCTCACAGGGCCTGCTTCTTGGTCACTTAAGGGCTGGCTGGTCCTCTCCGAGGGCTGGAGAAAAGTTTTGTTTCCCCAGCTGCACTCGCAGGGGAACGCTCTGCAGGCAGGGCATTGGGAACCTGTTTGGCTTGGCTCAGAAGCCTGTCAGCACATTCAGGAAGTGAAGTCAGAGAGAGGCAGGATTTCAAACAGAGCCAGCTGCACACAAATGCCCAGGCAGTGCAATGCCTGATCCAAGCAGGGTGCCTATCAGCCTGGTTGCCCTGGGTGCTGTGAAAGAAGCCTCTGAGAACGGCTCAGGGCCAGGAAAGGAAGAAGCAAGCCCTCCTACTCAGACAAGGAGAGTGACTTCCATGGCAAAGCCACCAGAAGGGCTCTGCAGGGGTCATCGCAGCCAGCCCCCAGTTACGCGGGGCAATGACTAGCCCTGGACTCCCAGAGCTTGCTGGTGGAGGGGTGAATGTTTCTCTTCCTGGAGTTTCCAAGTCCAGGTGTGAGAGGGGAGGGGAGAAGAGGAGGAGGATAGCACAGTGAAGGAATGGGTTAGGAGGATTAGGGAGGGTAGAGAAGAAATGCACAATGCCTGAGAGGATATGGAATCCTGAGAAGGAACATGCTACCACTCTCCAGCCATGTTCCCATGTTCAGGAAGAGGACAGTGGCTGAGACCTGAACTCTGATGCCCAACTCCAACATCTCCAGGCTGTGAGTGGGAAGATACTTTATTTCTCTAAGCCTCAGTTTCATTAGCTAAGATATGGAGATAACAATACCTATCCCATAGGGTTGATACAAGGATTAAATATGCTAATATATGTAATAGGACTTAGCTTAGTGCTGGAAAATCATTGATGGATCAGTTAGAATTCATGGTTGCCAATGACAAAAAATTCAGTGTAGGTCAAAAAGGAATTTTATTGAAATATGTAACTGAAAAACCATCCGTAGAGGTAGCTCTAGTAGGAGGGGAGGGGAGGATAAGGAAGAGTTGTATGCCGGGCTCAAATGGTATCATTAGGCTTTGATTTCTCTCCATCACTCAGCTTGCTTTGGGAAGAGTTAGCATCATCCTCAGTCTCCATGTGATTGTGTCCAGCAGCTCCTCTCATCCTTAGGAAGAAATAGGATTCATCACTTCAGCAATTACTCACATCTTCCCAGGATGGTGTTTCACTGATCTGCTTGGGTCTCATATCCATCCCTGAGCCAATCACGTGGCTGGAGGATGGTGTGGGATATACAGGTCATCTGCCCACCTCTAAAGCCAGGGTTTTGGAGTCCTATCACAGTACATGGCCAGAGAAGAGAGTGAGAAAGGAGGTGATCTTCAAAGAAAAATAAGGATCAATGATGAAGTAGATACCAGAGGTCAAAAGAAAATAAATACTATAGACAAGAGTCCATCTCTTTGGTGATTATTTTTATTTGTATCAAATTTTACAAGGCAGAATAGAGGGGCATATTCTACCCTTCAAAAACCCAGGCTGAAGTCATGATCCACTCTTCGATCTCTTCTAACAGGTTGGGGCTCCAGGTATAAATAATCAAGAACATACTTCTCCAGGGGGTGGGGGTGGGGAGGGAAGAGATAAACCACAGAACTTATATGCATGTACGCATAACCAACGGACACGAACAACAAAGCCGGGGATGGGGTGGGGGGATGGGGAGGAGGGTGTCAATGGGAAAAAAAGGAGAAACATCTGTAACAAAAATAAATTAATAATAATAAAAAAAACATACTTCTCTAGATGGAAAAGCATACTTCTCTAAATGGAGGGTTGTTTTAAACAATATGACATATGTAAAAATACTCTGTAAAATAGTTATTTATTAATACTACTTGCTATTATGATGTATACTATAAAAAAAAAAAAAAAAAAAAAGGACTCATCTAGGCCAATTAAAATAGAGGGATGAAGATTCTCCAGACAAGACTTTGAAATGTTAAGAAGCCCGAGTACACACACTCTGGTCTGTGACTTTCTCCACTTACCTCCTCGCTGAACTGCATTTGTATCAGGATCTGCATCAGCATTTCCACAATTCAACTGTTGAATTAGTAGAAGTGGAAAAGAAAATGAAATAGACTGTTATCATGACTAAATCCTGAGCAGGAGAATCCAAATTACAATGAAGTATTCTTTTTTTCCCCAGCACACAAAATCAAAGATTTTCATGCCTGGAGCCAAAGATGTGAGAAAGATCTCTGCAAATTCCTAGAACTGTTTATTAGCATAAGAAGTACATCCCATGTTGCAAGTATGAAATACCAAGAAAGGTTGAGTATCTACTGTGCAATTTAAGGCATTCCTAGGAAGAAATATGGTGACCAATTCTTGGCATAAATAGTCTTACCATCTTTCCACCTTAAATTAGTAAGATGGGATTGATTGATTATCACTCTCAGAAGGCGGTGTTACTCTATTCATTCACATCATGTTTATTGAATGCCTCCTCTTTGTCAGGCATCCCCTTAAGCACAGGAGGTGAGAAGCTATGTAAAACATTTGATCCTACTATCAAAAGTTGTGGCATTCAATATATTAATTGCCATGACAATTAATACAATTACCTTGGGAACGAGTACCCCACATAAGGGAGTTCAGCAATGACTTCACTAAGGACCTGATTTGGAATTGTATCTTAAAAGGGATGAGTGGAAGTTTGACAGAAAAATAGGTGATGGCATTCCAGGGAGAAAGGACCTTAGGGACTAAGGCAAGTAAGACTCGGGGTTCATCAGTCAAGCCTCAACTATTCATGGGCAAAATGAAAGAAGATCCTGCCCACTTATTGTCAGGTAAGGAAAAGAGACACTAAACAGATTATTAAACAGATTACCACAAGTTATATAGCCCAACACTTTGCAAAAGTGTTTCAAAGCAGGATCACTGCAGATACTTTGAAAGCTCTCCCAGAGTATTCAGTGTGGGAAGGGGAGCTGGGAGGGGCTTGGTTCAGTCTGGTCGTTAGGAAAGGCCTCCCCAAGGCACTGACTGACCTTTCAACTGAGTCTGGAGGAATTAGTCAGGCATATGGGAGCGGACAGGGAAAGCATTCCTGTCTTGGGCAAGAGCTTATGTTAGAAGTAGCCAGACGACCAGAGAAGACCAGTGTGGTTAGAACGCTTGGTTCAACCTGGGGAAGGGGATGGGGAAGCAGGAGGCCACAGAACAGGTGGATTCAGATGGTGTACAGTTTAATGCAGTATTTCTGAATATAGTCCCCCCACCTTCACGTCTTCAACAATCTGAGCTTACGTGACAGTGAGGAAAGAAAACCTGAGCTTGTTCTAAAGGTGACACACTTTGTTCTTAGGACCCAAGCTCTGATTCCTGCTTCAAGAGACTGATCAGGACATTAACTGTTGATGAAGCTCTTGTGATAGGCCCAGAGGGTGGTTAATGCCTTCTACGCTACCTTGTTTCAGTCTCACAATAGTCGTATCAGGCAACTATCACAGGCCTGTTCCCAGGCGAGGACACTGAGACTCAGAGTGAAAATGGCTAAGGCCTCACAACTGTAACAGACATGAGCAGGATTTAGCTCTAAAGTTGGGCTCCTGATCATTCTGTCATCCTGACTCTGAAGAAAAACAAAAGCATGAGAAATCTGGTAAAAGTCCAATGCTCGGCAATATTTCCTTCCCCGCATGGTACTGTGGCACATAGTAGGTTTAAAATGAAAGCTGATTCCATTTCCTTAATGTGGAAGGTGAACTGGAAACTCCAGGGACCTTTCTATTTTCTCTCCCACCCATATCTGGGCTTTATGCCCCTGCTGTTTTGAATTCCATTTCAAATGAAAAAAAAAAGAAGAAGAAGAAAAGAAAAAACTAAAAACCACTCTCAGCCAAGCTATTTGGATTTAAAACAGACCAGCAGAAACCTGGAAGGAGTCAGGATTCTCCCTAATATATCAAATATTGCAGCCAGTGCCAATCTGAGAGGCTTTGCTCGGTTTTGTAAAGAGAACAGGCCGTATTTTGAAAATGGATGAGTAAGGTTCACTGTTGCGACTTGTTTCAAGGTCTGGAGGCCAGGCCTGGTTTTGATCTGACAGGTCTGGGTCTCCAAACGAGGGTTATTCGTTTTCAAAGGCTCAGAGAGGCTTCATGCTCTCCAGGCACAGACCTGGAACAGCGTCCCTTTGAAGACGTCCTCCGTGGGTCTTAAGTGAGATTTGGTGCCCATTGTGGAATCACAGTAATGAGCTCAAAACTAATGTTTTTCATTATGCTAGCAAATCTTTCATCCCCTCTGTTTGCTCAGGTGTGCGGCTGTGTGCCCCATGCCCTGATCTCTATATAATAACCAAATAAATATTTGTAGAGGGAAGAAAGAATTGAAGATGAAAGAATGTCACAACTGGTGGGGTGAGAAAAGTGAGAGGAGACGCTGGTCTCTTTAAAATAAGATAATATATTTGCTATCTACTTTCTTTTCTAATTAGTCACCTTCTAGTCCATGAAGAAGAAAACAATCGGCTAATGAAGTGGCAGTTAATTACTGAATAAGTACATCACAGCTTCTCTCCAGAGGGCGCAGTCAGAGTTGAATACTGCCGCTAGATGGCGCTAGAGGGCAGACGCGATGCTCCCTGCTTCTCAGGGTGTAAGGGATTAGAAAAAGCTCAGCCAACAAATTCAGCTGGGACAAAAGTATGGGCGTCGTCCGCCTTCAGAGGGGACCAAGTATAAACACTTTTTTTTTTTTTTTTTTTTTTTTTTTTACAAAATAGGGAAGCATATGCGCTGGAAATGTTCTTGCTCCACCAGCCGGAGGCCAGGAAGTGAGCGCCAGATGCTGTTTACAGGGCAGCTCTGATTTCAGAATGAAGAATAAGGCTCAGCAGGTAGGGATGCCTTGAGAACCAGCACCGAATTTCCAAGAAGCCCACGCTGCGACAGAGCTGCCAAGGGTTTGGCTCAGAAAATTCAGTGGATAAGATGGAGGCTTACGTTGTCGGAATAAACCCATCTCCCTTACTAGAGGGACAAGCCTGGTATACTGGGGAAATTTTGAAGTTCTGGAGTTGGACAGAACTGAGTTAAAATCCTACATGTGTGGCCGTGGGTAAGTCTCTTTCCTTCACTGAGCGATAGTTGTGTCATCCTTGGAATCAATGTAATAGTTGTAAAGGAGGGAAGAATAGTTGAGACAAAATGCTTAGTACAACATTCAATATTCAGCAGTCTTTGAATAGCTCCTCCAACCACGGCACTAAAACTCATTCATGTGGGAATGGGAGCCACTTCAGTGGGAAAAACAACTTTCTTATTTGTGTCACCACTGTGTCTGATACACACTGATTCTCTTTGGGCTCATCACACTAGTTTGCATTTTATTTATTTATACAGGTTGTTAGACAGGGTATTCCTTTAAAGTAAAGGCTGTGCTATAAAATTCTCTTTGCATACCCAGAATCTATCAGGGCCCCTGGAACGTGACATCTGTTGAATACACGAGTTTTTCTTATGAGCAAGTCGTTCCAACCCACCAAGCCGAGTGATTCAGATACAGCATTATGGCCACATCTCACTTTTTAACTTCATTGTGCTCAGGAAAGAAAACAGAAAATACTACAAACCCAGTGATGAAAATTAATTCTGAATTTTTTGTTTTAGCCAAAGACCAAATAGGAGCCAGATGCTGAGCAGCCATTTTTAGTATTGGCCAACTCAACCAGCCAAGACTCAAAATAAATTCCAAGACAGAATTAAAATATTAGATGTAATTCTAAGATTTTAGTGTCCAACCAAAGACTTGGGCATGTGGCATTTTAGTCTCTGCAGGTGAAAGAAATGCAGAGAGAGAGGAGGAACAATCTGGATGGAAAAAAATGACAGGGAGCCAACAGAGTCAGGGATGCCAGTGGTGGCCAGTACTAAGAAGAAGGTGGAGACCCTAGAGCTTAGCTATCATGAATCAGATAGACTTAGTCACTAAATAGTCTCTTTGAGGCAAGTTACTTACTGAAAGACTCGATTTCTTCATTTATAAAATGGGTGCATTAGTCAGCATAGGTTAACCCATGCTGTGGTAACAAACTCTGAAATCTCAGTGACGTGGCAAAACAAAAGTTAATTTCTCGCTCACCCAAAAGCAGGTTAGTGGAGCTCATCTATATCTAATGACTCAAAGAACCCATTTCCTTCTGTCTTGTGACACTAGCATCTCATCATGTGGCTTCCAATGGTACTGCAGCAGGGGAGGGAGAGCTGGAGAAGGCACAGTGCAGAAGTGACACATACCATTTCCGTGTAGAGCCCATCGGTCTGAATTAGATACATAGCCCAGCCCAACTGCAAGGGAGACTGAGACTTGTGGAGGAGCATGTAGATATTTGGGGCACGCTGACTATGTCTGCCCCATGGGGTAATAATTAAAATAATGAAATCAAACAGGATTAGATTCTGTTGCATAAAATTGAACAGACAAATAACAAGGGCTTTATTTTTTTTTGGTATGTGCCCCTAGTAGGAACTGAATCTGGGACTCTCTCGTCCGTAGGCCCACGCTCCAACCGCTGAGCCAAACCGGCCAGGGCAACAAGGGTTTTAAAGAGTTAGAAATTTATGTCCTCTGTTGTAAAAAAAAAATCTGAGGAGCGGTGGAATGGCAGCTCCACAGTCATCAAGAGCGTAGGCTCCTTCTTGGTTCTGCTCCACCACTGTTTGCATGTAGCTTTCATCCTAAAGTCACTTCATGGTTACAAGGTGCCCTTCGGGTGTCATGTCCGCGTTCCAGCTAATATGAAAAAGGGAAAGGTAGGGAGGAAAAAAAGGCACCCTACCAACATGAAAGAGCTTTTTCAGAAGCAGTTCCATTTATATTTCTTTGGCCACTTCCAGGTGCAAGGAAGTCTGGGAAATGTAGTCTTTAACATTTGTGAGTGAAAAAATGAATGTTGGGTAAGCAACTAGAGGTCTGTGCCAAAATAGCAATACTTATTCAGTTTATGTGGTTGTAGTGAGCACTTTACAAAAGCCGACCATTGTCCATGTCCAGTAAATGTTTGATATTGTCATTACTGTTTTATTAGGCAGGTCATCATTTAGGAAGCATGATCTTGGTGGCAGTTTATCAGGGACCTGGGACCTGTCGAGAAAAGGGAGCAAGTCTCTTGTTCTGGTGAAGACTTGGCACAGCAAGGCAGGGTTCAAGAACCCCAGTCTGGGTTAGAGATTAGGACAAGGGAAACAACACTCAAGAGGAGGGACCAAGGCAGAATGTCATTCTGGTGGCCTGAGCCAAACCATTAGCGAGCTGGGGGGATAGGAGTGAAGAGGCCAAATGTGGTGTTTCTGGGTTGACTCTGATTAATAGATGTAATTAGCAGAGAGAAGAACTTAAAGAAAAACATGGAAACATCAGAAAACATCACAGTGACTACTTTGGTTGGCGCCTTAGAATCTGGCCTCTGTACTCTCAACTGCACATAAGGACTTTCTTGCTCACTGACCTCTCTTTCTATCTCTGTGAGGTCACCTCACCCCTTCACTTGGCTTCTGCCACTACAAATTTCAGCCCTCCTTAATGCTACTGCTGCTGCTTCTTTTTTTTATCCTCACCCGAGGACATTTTTTCATTTTTTGTTCAGATAGAGTGGGAGGGAGAGACAGGAAGAGAGAGAGAGAGAGAAACATCAACACAAAAGGGACACATTGAGTGGCTGCCTCCCTGCCTCCCGCACGACCCAACCAGGGCCGGGGACAAGCCGCAACTGAGGTAGGTGCCCTTAGCGGGAACCAAACCCGGGTCTCTCTGGACCACAGGCTGATGCTCCAACCGCTGAGCCAAACCAGCCAGGGCTTCTTTATTCCTTCCCTTAGCATATATTTATGACTACTCACTATGGCCAGACGTAGTTTTTAGTACTAGGGATCCAAATTGTTCACAAATTGTTTTGTGAAATCTACATGGCACATTGACCTCTTCCCTATTGGAATGGTGCCTTTTAGGTAATTCCTCAGGCTAATCTTTGGGGCTTTCTTTCTGGTACCCTACATACAACTCACTCACCACCTTGTTGGCCTCAGTCTGGAGAACAAAACTAGGCCTATTTGTCACTAAAACCCAGATCTGAGAGGAACGACTTAATTATAAGTCCCACCCAAGAGAAGAGTGAGATTCTTCATTAACCACTTTAGTGTTGGCTCAGGAACAAGGGAAATGCTGGAGAAGAAACAGGTTGAGTTAATAAGGCAGGAGGCCACCCTGTAAAGTTCCAAATCTTTAGGCAGAAAAATGAATACCTACTTGGGCCAGACTTGTTGATTGCTAGCAACAGTAATGGACTCTAACTAACAGAGTTTTTCTAGAAGAATAGGGGACATCATGAACAAGATTTAAAGGAAAGCTGAAGAGTCCGGCTCCAGAAGGAACAGAGCCAGGGCAACCGAGCGACTTCGTCTGAAATGCATGCCTCTGTTTGCGTGAATAGTCTCCAATCATATTTCTATGCCTTTTCTCTCTGCTGAAGAGACAAATCCTGGGAGAGAGGGAAGATATTATCCTGGCTTGAGTTATATTTCTACCACTTCACACGCACAGTCTGATTCACAATTTTTTCACATCCATAATCAATAGGACCTGGTAGTTCCAAATAGCAAAATTGGAGTGTGACTACCAGAATGAGGAATGGATGCCAGGCAGGTAAAACCACAGATGTCTACCTCCCCTCTCTGGATAATTCTCCCATTCCCAGAGCTGTGGCTTGAAGAACATTTCAGGAGGATTTATAAGACTGTTTCCTCCCAGAAACATTTTCAATTGTGGGGAGTAAGACTGCAGCTCACAGGTCATAACATGATGCTTAAATTGGGGCTTTGGAATGGGATTGATAGAAATAATAGTTACAGGTAATTTAACAATCTAAAAAACAGATTTTATTTTTGTACTATTTTTTTTTTAGTCTGATCTATATTTTTGAAATTATAATTTTATTCATTTAAAAACTCAGTAATACGTTCACATAGTCCAGGTACCTTCCTCCATCCCGCCACCTGGCACACAACGCCTCTATCCTGGACCTTAGATGTTGCCATTTTGGATCAGGAGAACTAAACCTCAAGAAAGGCAGAACAAGGTTCTGATGACTTTATGGAGTAGAGACATCATGTTTGCCTTGGCCTCTATTGTTTTAGAATTTTATATAATAGAGAAATAAACTCCTCTCTGTTAAAGCCACTCTTGTTTGGGACTTTTTCTGTTATAGACTGTCTGATTCCAACTGATTCTCCGAGGTTACACCACCAATAGGTGCTGGAGTCCTGATTCTACCTCAGTTCCCCAGCCTGGACTAGGGTGAGTCAAGAGAAGCATCCAGGGAACAAAATTTAAGGAGGCACTCACTCTCAGGGCTGTGCAAGTGTTGGCTCTGCAGTTGTATGACTCTGAGAGTAGATGCCTCCTTAAATTTTGCACGGAGAGTGTTTCTCTTGCCTTACCCTGCTCAGCTCCAACAGCTTCCTGAGCCCTGTTCCTTCGCATCACACTGACAGGACATAACTTAAGATCCAATCAACCTGCTGATACATCCTCACCCTGAGAAAGGAACTGGTTTCAGTCAGAGATTTAAGAAATACCTTCTTTGATATTAACTATGATATTAACTTTTCTGAAGCCTTCATTTCGTAGCACTCCTGCTATTTCGAGTGCTAGCTTTTACCATGAGCTGGCATGGGAGCGAACGCTGCTCTGAAATACCCCGTCCTCCCATCGGCTTTCCAGGCAGGCGGTCCTGTTTATATATTGTTTCTCTGGCTGAATCATTTATAGCAAGAGCACAGCCTCCACTTGTCCATGAGAAACTGTTCAGAACAATCCTTTCTACTCTGCATAAAGCCTCAGGAGTAACCATCGATATTCCAAATAAGACTGCTATTTGTCAGACTCTCAAAGTCCAGGAACAAAGGACAGTAACTGTGTGCCATCAAAAATCATTTTAATAGAAAAACAAAACCCTCCCTCTGATAGCTAGTTCTTTTTTTTTTTATTTTTTTTTTAGCTTCCACCTTTCTCAAAACTGGCTTTTATATTATGCTTCCTGTAGAAGCTTGTCCAATTCCTTTTGCTTCTGGTTTCAATATTATTTTCACATGAAACTTCCTGAAATACATTCAGAGTCATCAATGGGGGAGGGAGGTGCTGGTTTAGGAGCCAGAGTTTAGTCACTGTTTGCATCTTAGGGATAAGAACCCCCAAATCAAGCTTAGGGAAAGTATAGTCATTTCTCAATATTGTGTTTATGTGATATGATTCCAAAGAAACACATTTTTTTTTTTTTTGGCAGATTCGTGCCAAACTCTCAGGAACAGACAAAAGGTAGGTGCTGAGACAGGGGCTGGAAAAGGCAACGGAAGTGGAGAATGGGGCTTAGATCGTGTTTTCTGAATAGACACTGTCCCGGAGGCTCCACATTCGTTCTCACAGCCCACTGCAAAGTGAGTGGTTTTATCTCCATCTTACAGGTGGAGAAAATGAAGCTCAGAGAGGTTAAGAAGCTGGTCCAAGATTACACAGCAAAGAACTGGCAAGTGGGGACCCAAATCCAGGTTGACCCAGTTCTATAACTGTGCTCTTTCAGGTATATCTCACTGTCTGTGAAAGCTCAGCATATTTTTGTCGTTGTTGTTCTTAGAGGGAAGATGTGGTAAGTCAGGAACCTAAGGATCTAGTCCCAGCATGGGGACATGGGACAACGCATTCCCTGTCCCTGGGCCTCAGTGTTTTCACCTATACAAGAGAGTAGGGCTAGCTGATTCTTAAACTGCATCTGTGCTCTGGCAATCTGGGTTTCCATATCTACTTCCATCAAAGGCATCCAACAAAAGAATCAAAATAACAGGAAGAGTGAGCCACCAGCGGGATCCCTCCCTGTGGGTCAGGAGTCCAGGAAAGGCAGAGGCAGACACTGCAGGATAAATAAACTGAGCTTGGTGTTCATTGCACCCTCTCAGTTTCTCATCAACTTCTCCATTCCCTGCCTCCGCCATCCAAATATTCTGTTCCAAATATTCTGTTCCTTACCACCTCCAGCCCCCCAACGTGTGACACCCCATCTAGGCTTGCCTGGATGCCTGCAATGCTGAGTTAAAGATCTGATTTTTTTATCTAGCAGTGGATGGCTCCTTTTTGTGAGGGTAGACGTAGCCCTGCACTGGGATGACTGGCTTACAGGACAGAGCATGGAGGCACTCTCGCTCCCGCCTTCCCCGCTCAGCCAGGTGCGCTGTGCAGTGTGCAACTCACACGCGGCAGCCCTGGGACTAGACCAACGACTGATTGGTTTAAGTGAATGGTTCTTTCTCTATCCAACTACCTGTGCCAAAAAGGAACCTAGAAGATATTTGTGACCCTTTTCCCACCTTTATCTTTCATGTTCTACCCACTGTGCTATTGTCTTAGCTCCTATTTATATCTCTCAGATTTCCCATTGTTCTCCATCATCACCACCACCCTAGTGGAAAGAACATAATCTTTCTTCTGAATCACATCGCTACCGTCCTAACTGGCCTCCCCCTTCTATGTAGTCTTGCCTTGTGTGTATTCCCATCATCACAGCCAGAGCATATGAACTCAAGTAGCTTAACACTGAGAGCTAGCAAACTGAAGGATCTTTTCAAAATATAAACATCTCCCTTCGGGCTTGACATTCTCAGTGGTTTTTCATGACTCTTAAGATATAGGTGAAACTCTTTGACTGGGCCATCATCCCCTCCCCATGCCTCCAGCTTCATTCTGCATGGCCTTCCTTTCAGCTTTCTTCTCTGCAGCTGCTCTGGAGAGTGGCTCATGCAAAAGCCATTCCTGCTGCCTAGAGCGCTGGCCCTTCCCCCTTCGCCTATTAACTCCTATTCACACATCAAGTGTGAAGGCTCCAACACTCTGCCTCAGCAAGGTCTCCCCTGCTCCCCCTGACTGGCCAACTCTCCTTATGGTAAGTCCCTCAGCGACAAGGGCCTTCTTGCTCTTGTGGCATTCATCAGAGTTACACGTGTATCGATCAGATCCTCTGACACGGTCTCTCTCTCCATCCAGGCTGTCAGGTGCATGATACCGTGCCTGGGCTCATCACTGTATTTCTGGCTGCTTAGCATGTTGTCCGCATGCAAGCTGTAGCTGGTAAATATATGCTGAATAAATGCAGGTTTGTCTGGCTTGGACAAATCACCATCTAGCAATGACCACGTTTGACAACCACCCGAGTGATCTGTGAGTGTAACTTCCCCAAACGAGTTGTGTAAAAGGAAGAGGAAGAAGGGCAAATCACAGAAAAGTCGCAATTGACAGTTTCCTCATAACCAGCCAACTCTGAATGCGTCTTCTTTGAGGCATTCTGGTTAACTGGTTTCGAGCAAATATTTGTTGAATCGATAGATAATATCTAATCATTCAAGGCCCAGATTATGTGTTACATCTCCTAGGAAGTAATTTCTAATGTGTATCAGTCTTCAGAAATAACCTCTCTATTCCTTATATGTTCAGAGCATTTCACCATTTCCTCTCAGATGATAGTTGTTATCTTACGTTAGAGTTGTTTGGGTATATGCCTTATCTCTTAGAGCACATTGTAATTGTCTAATTTATTTCTACTCTGATCTATCCATGGTGGAGCTCAAATAAAATTTGGCGGATGAATGAGGGCACAAATAAATGATAAATAATGCTTGAATTCTCTCTCTCTCTCTCTCTCAAGGGTATGAACTATTAGTTTATTGTATCTCTGACTTTCCCGATCCTATATTCTCTTCTAAAAAGCTGGGGAAGAGATTACTTAGGATACTTTCAATTACTTTAATTAATTGTCTATCCTTTATTTAGACTCCATTGTGAGAAGCCAGATTTTTGTTTCTCTTCCCTGAATCAAGCATTTTCAGTCCATATGCTCTTGATAGCTTTCTAATTCCAGTACCAGATATTCGACCCAGATACTTCAGAGGTTCAAAAGTCCAGCTTTGGAGATCTCAGTCAGTAATTACCTAAATTGAAATTCAGTTTAATGACTGTCAACACTTTTCTTGAGCTTCTTGTTTGTACCAGTCAAATACATGCAGATACTTAGAAAATCCACCCCTCTCTTCAGGTCCTCTAATTTAAAAGGCAGTTTAGATAATTTTTCAGGATGGTGGGAGTCTCATCACTTTTCCAACCATGAGTTACAATTAGGATTCAATCATGTGTATTGAAATGCTTTGGAGTTACCAAGTTTGGGAGCAGAGAGAGACCTCAGACGATATTTGACCTAAATATCCACTTTGCAAGTGAGGAAGTGACTGGCTAAGTAGGTTGTGGAGCTAAAATCCAAACTCAGGTCTTTGGGGTCAAAATATTTCCTGTACCCCTATGATATGCCAGGCTTCTTAAATACTTCATCACCGGTTATCTCTAGGAATGCCTCAAGAAAGGTTTGTCATTCACATTGTCCAGGTAAAGAACCTGGGCTCATGTCCTCTGGGCTTATTAGGTCCTCCACATAACAAAGTTGGGATTGGAACCCAGCTCTGTCTAAATCTGAAGACAAAGCTTCTTCCACCGCACCATGGTGGCCAAGGCCAGTGGAGCTTCAGAGAGGAGGACACTGGTACTGAGTGATGGATGTGAGACAAAAAGAATACAAATTCTAGACGAGGGGTCACATGCTTGACCCCTACCCCGACACACAACCACCACCAGCTCCCTGGAACCTATACCAATATCTTCTCAAACTTTTACTGGGCATACAAATCACCTGGGGATCATTTAAAAATACAAATTATAATCGATAGGTCTTGGGTGAGGCCTGAAATTCTGCAGATTCTGAGATTCTAAGGTGATGCAAATGCCCCTAGTCCTGGGACCACACCTTACGTAGCAAGGCTGCTGAAGATATGACTCAGTCTTCAGCAGCCTCATTCCTGGATTTGTCAAGCAACAAAATTCATGAGGTTAAGGGAGGGCAGCTGTGGTTGAGTAGTTGGAAGGGGCACGATGTTTGTGTGGGTATCTTTTGCTGAATGTCTTACTATGTGCTGGGCATAATGCTAAGGCTTTTACAAGTATAATCACATTTAATCTCCAATATAACCCTCTGAGTAGCTATTGGTATCCACAGTTTACAGACAAGGAAGCAGACAAGGAAAAAGAGTTTAGGCAACTTCTCAAAATTCATATGGTTCTGTCTGATTACAAAGCTCATGCTCTTAACCACAATGCCAACTTCCTCCACAGTGAGAGAGTCTCCTCTACACCCAGAGCAAGTCTGAAGGGCACTTCTGAGGGGAAAGGAGTCTTTGAGCAGATATTATGAGCTGATGTGGACATCACAAATCCAACACCAAGGTGTTAAGGAATATTTTAGATCATGTGTTGATCAGCTTGCTAGAGGAATGTGCAAAGGGTTCATTCACACACAGAAAGAAAAAAAGCATGATTAGCTTGAGTGGAAAATTACAAATAACTTGCATGCTCAGTAATAAAGGAATAGTAAAATAAAACATAGTATATAAGGCAACGGACATACTAACTGGTTGGTGAGTGTACAGATTTCAGATTGTATACAGTATTTGCTACTATAACATAATCTGGATTTTGTTAGAAAAAAGACGTGTGTGTTTATATATGAAAAGATTAGAATGAGGTACTCCAAGTAATGAATATCAATAACCTTTAGATGGCATTCTTATTCATGTTTTTAAATTTTATTTTGAGCCCTAGCCAGTTTGGCTCAGCGGTTAGAGCGTTGGCCTGCGAACCAGGGAGTTCATTTGATTCCGGCCAAGGGCACATACCTCGGTTGTGGTTCATCCCGGGCTCTGGTTGGGGTCATGCGGGTGGCAACTAATTGATGTGTCTCTCTCACGTCGATGTTTCTCTCTCTCGCTCTCTCTCCCCCGACTCTGTCTGAAGATAAATGTAAAAATATCCTCGGGTGAGGATTAAAAAATAAATACATAAATTTTTATTTTTATACTTATCTGTATTTTTCATAGTTCCAGAAAAGCATATATCATATGTGTGATTTTTTAAAGAAAAAATAAATATGCAAGAGAAGCCAGGGAAAAGGTGAAAAAGGATAAAGGTAGACATGTACTACCAAATATTAAAATAAATTATAAAGCTATAAATAATACAACAATTTGGAATTGAGAATTATTAGACTGACAAATCAGTGGAAGAAAGGAGAAAATAAGGTAAAAGTCCCATATAATTTGGACTCATAAGTAATTAATTTTTTTCTCTTGGAGAACATTTTCCTAAAAATGATACAAAAGTAGTGTATGGCCCCCAAAATACTGTACATTCGTCAGTAGACCATTGACAAAATGGAGAAAAACATGTCTAACATGGGAAGACTGAGGTTTACAGAAGGTACAGACAGAAGTTTAGTAACTCATGGTTCATAAATGATGAGCCAGAGCCGCAAACCCAGGTCTGTCCAACTATGATTTTTGTCACTATGTTGCCTCTCTAGGAATTATTTTGCAGATGTGCCACAAGAAGTGAAGTGACCTACCCAAGATCACACAGCTAACAGGTACCA